CAAACAACTAATCGTGCTTTACAATTTAATATTAAAGTTAATTTTTTAGGGTATTAAAAAAATTTAGGGGTGAAATAATAAAGAATTTATTTGGTTCTTGTGAAATTAAATCGGGATTTATCAAGGCTACGAACCAAATTGATGAAGAGCGCTGTAAAATCGAAGAAATCTGCGCGGTTTTTACAGATTCCCTATTGAATTTCTACAGATTCCTGTAAAATTAAACGCGATCGAACTAAAACCAGCGATTCTCAATAAGTATTTTGGTGCTCAGTATATTTTTTACATTATTATTCTACGGAGCAAAAGAAAAGTGTAATATTTAAATATTTATTAACCATAAAAAGTAAATTAGTTAACTTAAAAATGTAATAAATATTTCATAAAAAAACAATTTATCCCTTTGACTTGCATTTATTCAATTAATTCAATAATTAAAAGATTTAATACTTTTTTCAATTCGAAAATCATAAAGAAAACTCAAATGAAATATATCTAAATGTAATAAAATAAATTGAATTATGAAGTATAGTTAACTAACCTGGAATATAGGCAACCAATTTTTCCAATTAGCTATTCCATTAGCGTATTATGAGCTTATGCCAGTAAATTTCATATAGTACGAGGCGAAATTCAAAAAAAATTCCCATTTTCTTATAATTCCTCGATTTTTGAATCGTTTTAGCAGCATTAAAATTCCTATATAAAAAACGCAATTACAAGAACACTTAGGTACAGAAGCAGTTACGAACGAAACAATTAAGTTAAAGGGTATTATTAAATCATTATTCCTATACGGTTAAGATTTCTCGACTATACGCTTCGTTAATTCGAAATTATGCACTACAAATTGTTCACGAAAATACAACTAAATTTCATTCGTTTTATAGTCTTCCCACAGTTTTATAGTCAGTCCCGTCAATCCCGAGATTATAATACACATCATTGACAGATGACAGATGACATATAAAGGATGACAAGCGACAGATGACATTTATAGAAGTGTAATGAAGGGAGAGATAATAAGAGATATTCCTCGTACTAAACGAATGAATTCGTGACATTAATTAGATAGTTTCGCATTAAAAATATTTGGAAATCCGCAATTACGACGTGAAGGGGCTGGAGGCGGGCGAAGATTTTCCTTTTCAATCGCGAAATTGATCGAACGTTTCGTTTCGCGAAAAAAGGGGAGCGATATGATGAAAAGGAAAAGAAAAGTCGCGCACATTAAATGGATATCCAATGAAAACGGAGCCTGGCCTACTGCGGTATGAATTTTTAATTATGCCTCTGCCCACGTTCTTTTGTTTTTACCGCAACGATTCCGAAAGTGCGCCGAAGGGAAGGGTTGTTTTCAAAGATGGCTTAAAAGCTGACTAGCGAATGTGTATATGCATATAATAAAAACGACCCTTAATTGTGGAAGCTTTCGGGTGGGGGGCTTTCGAAAAAGTAGCCATCATGAATAAATTTTACCGCATCAGGACAATTATATCTTACTAATTTAATGAGTTTTATTTATAACTCTCTATAAACCCTTATCTTATAATTATTAATTAAATTGTGTTCCAGCTATTCTATCTAGGAACTTGCTATATACTTTAGGGTGTTAATTATTTGAGTGCATATATACTTCAGGATGTTAATATTTGGATGATTTTAAGAAGATAAGTTTATATCAATGTATGTCCTAAACCTTAGTTTTCGAGCTACAGGGTGTTAAAATTTTAGAAAAAAAATAATAACTTTTCTGTCATAATTTTCTTATTACGGCAGATATTTTTATGAAATTTCGGACGTGGACGTCACTGATAATAGTAGAAAATTAATTTTTATCCCCAAAATAAATTGTTTCCATGCATGGTGGGCGCCTATCAAATTTCAACAAAATATCAAAAGCTATCTCAAAATGAATTTGGGAAAAAATGGTTTTGGTTTTTATTTTTTTACGCGAAAATGGTGCGTCCTACGAAAATAAGCCTTCGGACCGAATTTGCTAGAAAATAAACGAGGATTTTAAAAATAATTTTAGTTTTTAGAAAAAACAGTGGTGTACCATTTTTTTTCAAACATATTCAGTTCAAACCCCGTACGGACGTCACTGGTGAATATTTAAAAAAATCTTATGCCTCAAAAAATGCTCCTTATTATTTTAAAAGTGTATACAAAATTTCTTAAAAATTACTAGAGTAATAAGAACATTATGATAGAATATTTTTTTTTCTAAAATATCAACTCCCCGTATCTCGAAAACTAAGAGGTTTAGGACAAACATTGATATAAACTTTTCTTCCTAAAATCATCCAAAAATTCACACCCTGAAGTATCGGCATACAATTAATTAACACCCTATATATTTATAATTATATTTAGATATCTAGATATACGAAGGAATTCTTAAATTTTCGATTGTATGTATATTGTAAACTCAAAACTCGAGCGATTTATTTAGGCGTATATCTAGACGGACCAAGAAAAAGGTTTTGATTAAACTAAATCCGCATCATATTAAAATCCCATTGAACCGTTTCGGCAGATTTGGCATAAATTAAACGATCCCCTTTCGTCCGTTTCGAGTTATTTACTTAAATCGTCTTTTACTTAACGAAATATAATCCTCACGAGAAGAAAAAAAAAAATAGATAATCGTTTCCGATTCGGTCCCGGGGATTTCCCCCGTCGAGTCGAGTTATTTTCTCTTTAAATTCGCATCGCATCAGCGAATCTTCGGAAAATTCGTATTAACAGATGTACTTTGTACATTAAAGGTATGTATTTTAATGGAGGTATGTTTTGAAATATTATTAATTTCGAAATTTGTCGATTTTGCGTTATTGTAAATGTTGAATAAAGCTGATGTTTCAATTGCTTGGTAAGTTCCAATTATAGCCTAATTAAAAACTAAATGAATACATCGATGCATCGATATACTGATGTATATAAAAATCGAAATTTATTGAAATAACAAAGTCCTATCCGGTGAAATGTAAGTTCTTGAATATTTACATCATATAAAATTTCACATGTATAAACATACAATGTAAGTTTTTACTAACACTCGAGTATGTTTCAGAGTAAAATTCAGGTAAATATTTAGTTTGAACATTCGAATAATATGGATTATTTGATTTTTATACAAATAGGTTTGCATATATTTTCCTTTTTATCTCTTTATATTCACACATCTTTTATGAGCTATATTTGTGTGTATATCTCAAACTTTGTAACAAACTGAAGAAGTTTACACATCACGTTTATGTTAGAAATCTCTACAATGTATAATGTAAACAGAGGTAAGACAACTTCCATTATAATAGTCTTTCAATCAAACCGCTATTATTTTGCACTATTTTGCACTATTTTACACTATTTTACACATTGCATTATTCCTGTCGATTTGTACCTGCGGCTTCAAAAATTAAATATTTTTTGTTACAAACAACTTGCAATTTTTGTGGGTTAAAAAATATAGGTAGACGTGTAAAAAATGCAGTGTGTGATCGATTTGATGTCGATAATAAACTGACGCATGGTAGAGAAACTTTTTCAATCTACATTCTACTAGGGAAACATTGATTACTGGCCGAAATAGCCGAAAACCAATTAACCCCCTCGTCAGCGTGGAGACAACGCGTCAAAATTTTATCATTTATATTTCGACGATTTTATATCAGTGGATGTTGTTGGAAATGTAATTGGAATATGGAAAAATTTACCTGATGCTGTTTTTCGATATAAAAACATTTTGACTTGTCGTTGTTATAAAAAGCTGCTTAGGTCAATGGCTGATTGATTGGAATTGGAAAAATGTATACAAGAGAAATACTTAGACATATACAGGAGAAAAAATCGAAGATTTGAATATTTTTAACATTGGTGCTGTAGAAGACTTTAAATGTTTTATATGAAATGTTATATGACAAAATATTCATTTAAAATCTTAAAATATCTAAAAAACAATAAAATTTACAAAAAAATTAATAGACAAGGACCTTAAAAATTGTAGATATAGTGCATTAATAGATTTCTTCTTCAAATTCAAACATGCATTTATTAAATAAGATTAAATTAAATATGCTAACTAAATTAGAAGCAGAAACATTATCTCATATTAATCAATCATTAATCAAGACCTTTCATAAAAATTTTAGAATACATACATTACCTACTAATTGATTTTATTGTAGCTAAAATATTTCTTCTTATTAGGTTCATACCTACTACAACTTAAATTTTTATAAGTTATTATAACTAGCTTAACAATTTCTTTTTAACTCCAAAATTAGTTACAATAGAAACTTAATAATCTTTACCTAAAATTCTAATAAAAGTTGCACATCCACCTAATTTATAATTTTTACCTGGTGAAACTCCGAAACTATAATCTCTTTATCGAAATAAAAATAATCCTTCAACTCGACTAAGACGGTAATAGTTAGTTGTATCCCCAAACTGGGCCAATTAATCCAATACAATTATCATAATTGAACACATCACTACTAATTAAGCGTGTAAACTATTCGACAGTAATTGTAGTGCGAAATCGTTCGATTATCGACTCTATTCGCGACTCTCATAAAGTCGAATCGGTGCCGCCAAGACCCGCCTCGTTTCGAACACACCAAGCGATTCTGATCGTTATACAAAACAACCCACAGAGGTTAGAATTCGTGGATTTCGAGTACCCAACGAACTCGATCCAATCGTCGTGTTATTGGTAGAAAGCAAGACCCGCCCTCGTTAAGGGGACCTTTTCATACGAATATTAGGGAGTATCAGAGACCCTACAGGACTCGTTTTTCATACAGTAATAGTCAGTTTACTCTCACATTCGGCCATGTAAGGTTCCGTTGTAACCGCGCTTTTTTTCCTCCCAAAAATTAGGTACTTAATACTTATACACATCGAATAATTGCATTCAATAATTATACTATAAGTAGAGTTTATGAACTGTGCGTTTAAGTGAGTTTAGTGTTTTTGGGATTAATGTAACGATGGAAATAAATCGGTTAAATTTTATCCGACGGTAACTGGGTTTCGGGTGAATATTATAAGTATAGCTATATAAAAATGAACAATGAAAACATAGAAACGAGTACAGTACACGTAACGGCGCCGAGTATATTGAACAAACCGTCCCAAACGATGCCCCAACGATCGCCTTTCGCCATCCAGGAGCTCCTCGGTTTGGGCGACAGCCACCAGCACCGCTCCCCGACGGCCGCCGTCTCCGCCATCACGCCCAACGTCTACAATCCGCAGCGGCACCATTTGCAGGCCACCACGTGCTTCCCGTCCGATCACCACGGGTTCAACCATCACCACATGACGATGGCGGCCAGCCGCATGGCGTATTTCAACGCCCAGGCGGCGGTGGCGGCGGCTTTTTTGCCGCACAACATCGCCGCCGCCGCCGGGATGAACGCGAACGGGACGGCGTCGCCGGCGGCGGCCGTTTTGGGATTGGCCGGACACCAGACTGGAGGCGCCGGTGAGTTAACAATGTATATAGGAAATGTTTATGCACTTTCAACAAGTCTTTTAAAAAAATTTAATTTTATTTTTTTCTACAAACTAACTTTTGATTATGCAAATTGGAACAATAATCGATCTAGAGATTGATGATTATAATACCGAATTTGAAACGGAACTGAAAAAACTGCCTATAATAGAAAAAATGTCGTTGCAAGGTTATATATCTAAAAGTAATGCGTTTTATAGAAAAAATGCAATTCGGCATTTCTGCGGATGTGATGATTACATTTCTATATACTGCTCCGCAAAAGTTAAGGAAGTTCGCAAATATTGGGATTAATTTAAAAGTTGCAGGTTTTTCGATCGGCAAATTTGGTATGAGTTGTAGAGGTAGGGGCAAGAAATCCACTCACATATGAGAGGAAACATTTAATTTCGCATATTTGAAATTTTGGTGATCAAAAAGTTTGTAACGTTTAAAATAATCGCAGAATTTGCGAACTTCCTTAACTTTTGTGGAGCAGTTAGTAGACTGTTTATATGAGGTAGACTGGTCGCGATTAGTCGGTTTTAATGGGAAAAAGTACCTAATGTCGAAATAATAAAAAACACGATTTATACAGTTTTTTTTAATCGAATGTAATCAGTATTTTCTATTCATTCTTCTAAAATGCCTATGTAGTCCTTTCACATGATAAATCCAATGTTTCTGATAAATATTTCATCAAAGAGAAGCATATTTTTGCCAATTTTGATAAGGTAGACTGGGGCAAATCGGTTATAAAATTTGAATAGTTCAAATTAAATCCTAAAATGTGGCTTTATTTTTTCTCTTATTAGAAATGCTGATACCACATTAAATTCACAACTTTCTGAACTAAAGGATCGAGGTATTAAAATGTTTTTTTTTTATATAAAGAAAGAAAACGATTTTTTATATTTTTTCAAATGTTGACAATATGTTACGGTTCTAAAGTGCAATACAATTATATAGAAAAACATATGGGGCAATTGTAAATACATATTTGTTACCTTTAAAATTTCATATATATGCTGTTTATTTATTTATTTCAAAAAATAACAGAGCTACAAAATAATAAAGAAAATATAAGAAACAAACCCTGTCTAATGCACAAAGAACTATAGAAATAATAAAAACATTAACATAATAGGTAAAAATATTACATTTACCCCATTTTTACATTTGCCCCAGTCTACCTTACTACAAAGTAACTTAATTCCTATACAGTATTGGTAATAAATTCGCGCATAATAGGGAAAATCGAAGTTAAATTCTTAGCCGGCTAAAGTCTAAATCCATCAGTCTACATCGAGATAAATTCTAATAAATTTAATTGTTCATATTGAATTTATTTCCAATACTGTATATTCAACACTTATGGTGAAATAAACATAGATATAGATTAGTCTATACTCCGATATATGCGTTATTTTCATACAGAATCTTGCATAAATATATTTTATTTTTTCCTCGTTTCATATTCCAATAAAAATATGTCTATTGTAAGTCTATAGGATACACTGTAATAGACATAACTCAATAATATACTTCTTCTATTGTTAAGAAAACATATTTTTGTGCTCAAATAAAGTTACATTGATAATCTATTACAAGTATATGAATTTGTTTTGGTTAGGTTTGCTTTATTTTCCTCCAGAATAATGCATAGATACATTTTTTTTCTCGTTTTATTTTTCAATGAGAAATATGCTTGTATACAAGTCTATAGGACACATTGTAATATCTCAATAACTAAGTTGCTCTATATTATATTACACATGAGAGTTTTATATTGTAGATATACCTCTACCTAATAAATTTTTTATTTGGGGAATTTGTTTTTTTAGGATCCGAATATTATCGATAAAAATGTTCTTTATATGCTCTATTTAATAGGTAGAACTACTCTATTATTTAATCGTTACAACTATATCGGTTTCAACAAAGGTATAAAATAGCATAAATGCATATAATAACTTTACATTTTATAATAAATTCAATTTGCATATAATACTCTATGATATACATGATTTATACTCTATAATATAAATTTAAAAACTTTCAAATAATAGATAAAACTATTAGATATGAGAGTATTATTTCTTATTTTTTGAATTATGACGAATTATGATTAGAATTTACTCCCTTTTATAGCTATTCTAGAGGGTATACAAATGTAAAAAGAAATGTAGACAGATTTTCTAAAACATAAATTAATAATATTACAAAAATTAATTCGCTGATGATGAATAAAAAATTAAAAACCATTCGAACAAAATAATTTTATCTTGCACTGCAATATACGATTGATTTAACGCGATAGAAATGCCGGAAAAATAACCCAATTACGGCATTATGAAAAATGTATATATTTTTGTTTTCCTAACAACAATAATACGAAAATTAATTCGACGTTCATCGTTAATTTCGATAACGTAAATTACAGATATTTCCATCCAGATAGATGTGCGTCCATTGTTAATTTTCCACTTAGCGTTTCCTGTTTATTTTCACCCAGTTGGAAATTAATAAATGATTTTGTGGTGCTTAACTTGTCAGCCATTGTACTAATTTGACATAATTACGTTAAAATTTTTGTTTAGTCACCCAGCCGTCGGTATGCCGTTTAAAATATACTATTCTATATATACCTACCTAATCCAACAGGGTTGGATTCCAATTCCAAACATTCTTTATACCTATAAATACCAAGTGTATTAACTATTTTTACGTTGATATTAGCTCCGAAATAATTGCAATTATGCATTGTAAAAAGGTTGAAATTATGTCCAATTTTTTTTGTATCGACAATAACCAAAAAAATTAAGTTAGAATTGTATATTCCGCGGCGTAAATACCGCCAACGAACGGCCGCCTCCGCCCGCCCGGGGGCCGGTCTAATCAGGACCACATCAAATTACCAATTAGTATTGATGTTCAGATCAGGCCTTAATGAGCCATTGATCCTCATTACGTGTCCTATTGATTTAACTCGGTACCGAGACCGAGCCTCGGAAGCCGCTAACAATCTTATAATTAGAAATTTTCCCCGGTACATACTATATTATTACAATATTCAGCCGCCGGTTCGGATTACTTTATTACCGGGGCGGTGGTTTTTTTTTTGTTCATCATCATCTCCTACGGGTTGTTCTCGTTGTTCCGATGTTCTCGCATTGCGAGTGATGTACAGGGTGTTAATTAATTGTATGCCGATACTTCAGGGTGTGAATATTTGGATGATTTTGAGAAGAAAAGTTTATATCAATGTATGTCCTAAACCTCTTAGTTTTCGAGCTACGGGGGTGTTAAAATTTTAGAAAAAAAATAACTTTTCTGTCATAATTTTCTTATTACGGCAGATATTTTTATGAAATTTCGGACGTGGACGTCACTGGTAATAGTAGAAAATTTATTTTTATCCCCAAAAAAAAGTGTTTCCATGCATGGTGGGCGCCTATCAAATTTCAACAAAATATCAAAAGCAGTTTCAATGAACTTGGGAGAAAAATTGTTTTGGCTTTTATTTTTTTACGCGAAAATGGTGCGTCGTACGAAAATAAATCTTCTGGCCAAATTTGCTACAAAATAAATGAGGATTTTAAAAATAATTTTAGTTTTTAGAAAAAGCAGTGGTGTACCATTTTTTTTTCAAACATATTCAGTTCAAACCCCGTACGCACGTCACTGGTGAATATTTAAAAAAATCTTATGCCTCAAAAAATGGTCCTTAATAATTAAAAAGTGTATACAAAATTTCTTAAAAATAACTAGAGTATAATAAGAAAATTATGATATAGAAAAGTTTTTTTTTTTAAATTTTAACACCCTATAGCTCGAAAACTAAGAGGTTTAGAACATAGTACATTGATATAAACTTTTCTTCTTAAAATCAATCAAACATTCACATCCTGAAGTATCGGCATTCAATTAATTAACACCCTATATACAGGGTGTCCCAATGAAAAGTAGCCCCTTTAATGAGCTAATAATTTTTAAACGCCTAATCATAAAAACATGCAGTTTTCGTAGATATATCTAAATTTGCTATAACTTTTTGTTACAGTGACACAAAAATTTTGTATCGTCTGTACAGGGTGTTTCAAAAATTCCCCTCTATTAAATTTAAATTAAACAAAATTTTATGATATAGGACATCTTCTTTTGTACAATAACATGTACAAATAACACATTTTTAAAAAATAGAAGAGTATAACTTTCAAAATATCTCTACATATACGGGGTGTTCTATTTAAAAAAAATGGTTACTGTGTATTTACAACAGGAGATTTTGATAAAACACCCTGTGTTGCTAATGCATAATTTCTGTATCACTGTAACAAAACTTATAATAAAATAAAACATATCTGAGAAAACCGCATGTTTTTACGATTATTCGTTTACAAATTACAAGCTCATTAAAGGGGCTACTTTTCATTGAGACACCCTGTATAATAACACCCAACCCCTTTTGCAAAATATTTCATCCCATTCTGATTCTCAATGTAGCAAGAAATAAACATTTGATTGGTACACATTTTGTGGTTTTTTTGGATTTGGAAAACTCAAAATATCTTATAAACTCCACATCAGTTATTAGACGAATCTTAGTAAATATAAAGCAGTTAATTCTGTTTATACATCGTCCTTTAATAAACTTCACTCGACAATTAATCGAAATGCATTTCATTTTCACACGCGGAATATGAGCAATGGCATTCTCGAGATTTCCGCTGGAAAATCCGATAAGATCGAAAAAAGTACACCTGATATACTGCACGTCTCTTTCTCGCGCCCCGTAAGGGTTTTTTTTGTCCAATTCCGTTCGGTATTTTTGCGTTTCTGAGCGGCATTTTTGCCGGGATTAAATCCGCGTAAAATGACGCAAAGTTCGATTAGTAAATTCGAATTGCGAACGCGAGAATTTCCCGGGCCGCAATGAATGCGGTTGGGAAACTAATTAATTGTATCCAAAGTTGATTATTGACGTAACTGTCGGGGCGTTTTCCAGGTACATTTTTCCATTTTCCAGACAATTAATTGTACCATAGCAAAACTAGCAAATACCTAATTCGTAGATCAGTTTCTAATAACTCCAATATGAAACCAATGTTTAAAATTTTTATCTTGGTACAGGGTGGTCCTCTAAGAATGGCTCTCGGCCATATCTCGCAAACTAATTGTCGTAGAGACTAGCGGTAAAAAATCATATGACTAAATCGGCCAAAAGAAAATGCTGAAAATAACTTTTAGGTCTCTAAAATGGCCGCTAGGGGGAGTATCCGACATCTTGATTTTTAAAAGTAATTTTTTTCAAAATTTTCCTAAATAAAGGTATCAAAAATGTGATTTATTTTGACAGTTAAGATACACTGAAAAAAAATTCTGTAATTTTCC